CATTTACCCCTCTTCATTTGCTCTTTTTTACATTCTTCCCACTCCTTAAATTCTTCTTTTTCTATTACTCTTCCTCCCCGATCACTTCTACTTTGAAAAACTTCTCATTGCTAACTTTTTTTCCCTAACTCTCTTTACATATTTCCACCAAAAGCTCCTTTCCTCCTGCCCCACTTTCCTGTAACCCCAAACTTCTGTGAACACTCTAAACACTACATTTTTAAACCTACCCCCTACCTCTTCGACCCCATTGGGCCTTTCTCTCTTTCCCATCTATCCCCAATAGCTGTTTATACTTCCCTAATGCCCCCCTTTTTTTAGTTTATAAACCTTCACCCCTTTTTTCCCTGATGCCTTTTTTTCCTGTATCCCATCTACCCTTTTCTTCAGGTGTACAACAGAAAGTGATCTGAAAAATCTGTGGCCCCTCTATAAATGACATCCGAAGTTACTCAACGTCTTTTATTACCAATACATAATCCAAAAAATACGTCATTTCGCCTACATCATATCGTGTATACTTATTTATCCCCTTTTTTTTTAAAAAAATGTATTTCTATAACTAAACCCCCTTTTTATACAAGTTCAACAAAGGGTCCCATTATTTTTACCTGGGAGTAGGTGGTAGACAGAACCACCCAGGAAGTACTCCGTCCTGCCAGTGAGTGAAAAAAAAAACCCGTAACTGTTTGCAGATGGTAGGGTTGCTGGTTTTCTTTTTTCTGTTTATAAAAAACGCTAGAAACAGGAATCTTTTACTCCCACTTTCACTTTGGTCACACTTCACGAACGCCCTGCAATAATTATATACATACATTAGGTTTTTCTCCCTTTTTTAAATAGCTCTTGTTCTTTTTTATTTCTTCTATTGTCCCGGGGGAAGTGGAAAAGAATCTTTCCTCCTAAGCCATGCGTGTCGTAGAGGCGACTTAAAATGCCCGGGGCAAGGGTAGTAACCCCTTTCCTGTATCATTTTCTAAAAAAGAGAAGAAGAAAAACTTTATAAAAGGGGGTTTTTTAAAAGTGCGGGATGTAGTGCGGATGCAAGAAACAGTGATTGCTGATGTTTGAAAGAAAAAAAAGTTGGATTCCGGCCCAAGCGAAACAAAACTAAAGGGGGTAGGAGAGTTTCGTGGGGGGAAAAAAAAGGGTTAAATCTGGAGTTTTGGGGGGAGTTGAGAAAAGGAAAGGGGGTAGCAGAAATTGTTAATGACCCTTTAGGGAAAGGAGAAAAGAGAATAAATGTGTAAATTCGAAAATTTGTGGTTTAAAAGTAAAGGTTGGATGCGAGAAGGGGGTCAAAATAAGCGGTATGCCCCGGAGAAGAGGGGAAATGCAGAGGGAGGGAGAGTTTTTTGGGAGATTTTAAAAGTGAATGTTGGGACCCTTTTAAAACCAAGGAGAGAGTAATTGTGGTAGGGGCCTAAATAAAGTAGGAGAAACTTTTTAGAGGGGTGTGGAGGTAATTTTGGGGGTGCCAGGGAAAGGGGATAATGGGGCCCCTTTGATTGAACTTTGTTAAAAAGGGGGTTTAGTTATATAATACATATTTAAGAAAAAGAGGATAAAAAAGTATACCGTTTATGTGTGGGGCGAAAAGACAGAGTTTGTTGGATTTTATTAGTAGATAAAAAAACTGTTTAGTAGACTTCGGGTGTACATGTTTATCGGGGGGCCAAAGTATATCAGATCCTTTTTAGTTGTAGCTACACGAGAGTAAAAGGTGATGGGATAAAAAAGAAAAAACATCAGGGGAAAAGAGAGGTGAAAAAGGTTTTAAAAAATAAAAGAGGGGCGTTAGGGTAAGATATTTAAAAGCATTGGAGGTGATGGGCTAATGAGAGCAAGGAAATGGGGTCGAAGAGGAATGGGGTATGTTTAAAAAATGTTGTTAGAGTGTTCAGCGAATTTGTGGTTACAGGAAAGGGGGTGCAGGAGGGAAGAGGAGCGTTTGGGGGGAAATGTGTGAAAGAGAGTTTAAGGGGGAGAAAAAGTTAGCATATGAGAATTTTTTTACAAAGTAAATGATGCAAGGAGGGAAGATTTATATGGAGAAAAGGAGGGGTTTAAAGAGAGTGGTGAAGCAATGTAAAAAGAGAGCAAAGAAGAGTGGGGGTGAGTTTTTCAAAAAAATTTTGTTGAAAATAAAAAATTTTGGATGGATTAACAAGTTAAAAACCTAGAGAAAAAATGGATTTGTCGTTAAAAATAGGAGGGAGAGTTTTAAAAAGGAGTTAGAGGTTTTGGGAAGAGGAGGGAATTTTTTGGGTTTTGTTAAATGTTGATGAAGTTTAAGGGAAGCGTGTTTGTGTATGGGCAAGGAGGAAAAACATCTTGAGGGTGAGGAAGAGCCAGTTGGAGTGTGGGGGAATTTTCGTGAGGCGTGGAAAAAATAAAAGGGGGGGGAAAGCGCCGGGATTGTTTGGGGATAAAGATAGAAATTTTAAAAGCAGGGGGGGGATAAGTTTTGGGGGGGTTGGTCAATTATTTAAAAAATGAGGGAAAGAGGGAAAGGGTACCTGGGGTTTGGAAGGAGAGCATATTTCCTTTTGATAAGGCAAAGGGAAAAAAGAGATGAAAAAAATTTTAGGGGGATAAGTTTTGAGTGTATGGAAAAGTGTATGGTAGAGTTATTTGAAAAAATTAAGAGAAAGACGGGAATGGGTAGCAGATGAAAAAGGAGGCTTTGGGAAAGGTAGGGGGTGTTGGACCAGGTGTTTACAGTGAAAAATAAAAGTAAAACAGTATTTAGTAAGGTAAAGGGTTTCTTTGTGGCATTTAGGGATTTGGAAAAAAGGGTAGACAGGGGGATAGGGGGCCCAATGTGGCAGATTTTGCAAGTGTAGGGTGTGGGGAGGTAGGTTACTGAAAGCATAAGAGTTTTTAGGATAGTGAGGTCAATTTAGAGTATGTAAAAAAGGGGGAAATTTTTTCCAGTAAAAGTGGCCTTAGACAAGGATGTGTGATTCACCGGGGTTGTTTAATATTTATAGAGGGGGTTGTAAGGAGAAATGCGAGGGTCTTGGCAAGGGGCGTGGAGTTAAAAAGATAAAAAATCCCCAAACAAAGGGGATTTTTCAAGTGCTCTTTGCTGAAACTGTGCCTGGGAGATTCTGAAGAAAAGCTGCAAGATTGGGGATGAATTTGGTAGGGTGTGCAAAAGAAAAAAATTAAAGGTGAATACAGGAAAAGAAGGGGTTAGGGGATAAAAAAAAGATTGGTGATGAAAGATTGAATATCAGTTTGGAGGGGGAGTATGGAGGGGTAACGTATTAGTTTATTTGGGAGTGGACGTGTAGCGGTGGGTTATAAAAGATGAGGGAATCATAGAAATTGATGAGGAAAAAGAGTGAGGGGTGCACTTAGGAGCTGTGGAACAGAGAACTTTGCCCTTGGAGGAAAAGAGGGGAATTATGGAGATGTTTTACCAACGTCTTATTGGGTGTGGCTGGGTGTGAAGTTGCAGCGGGGAGAAGGCTGGAGGCAGGGGATGCATGCTGAGGGCAAGTGTGGGTGAATTATGCAGGGAATTCGTATTTTTTGGAAGTTGGAGGAGGTGCGGGATTCCCAAAAAACTGTTGTCCAGAGGGCTGGGGAAAGGGTTTTTGAGGTGGTTGGCAGTAGAGAGAATGGAGCAAAAAACAAAATAACTTAAGAGGTATCAGTCTTAGTGGAAGGAAGGGGGGGGTGGGGGTGGGCCTAGGAAAGGGTTTGGGGAGGGGGGGGGGTAAGGAGGTTTTGTGGCGGGGGGCTTGGACTTCCAGCAGGCTGCGTACGTGTTTGATAGGGGTGAATGGGAAAAATTTTTTTTTAATACTTGACTGCTGTTGGGAAGTGTGAGAAAAGAAATTATGAAGGGATTCGGGGGAAACCCGGCATCCCGGACTTGAGTCCTGGGGAGGGAAGTCAGTCCCTGCATTTAAAGGGGAGGGGTGAAATGTTGCATTTTAAAAAAAATGTTGTAAAGCCCCCTTCTGGCAAGACAGGGGGGAGTAAATGGGTGAAAGTTTTTTTTTTTTCGGGCCCCCCCTGCTTGGGGGGGGAATCGGCCAGTGGATAAAAAAAAAAAAAACCCCAATTTACCTACCACACCCTCTCTAAAAGTTTCTCCTACTTTGCATTCAAGCCCCCTCCCCAAATTATCTCCATTTGGTTTAAAAGGCTCCTATACATTCACTTAACATCTCCCAAAATCTCCTCTCTCCTCTGCTTTCCTCCTTCCCCAGGTGAACCCCTTATTAACCCACTTCTCGCATCAACCCTTTACTTTAAAACATAATTCTGAATTTACCTTCAATTTTCTTTTTCCCCTTCCTAAGACATTAAATTACGCTCCCCCTTTCCCTTTTGCTCTAACTTCAGATACTCCAGTTTTTAATCCCATTTTTTCCCCCCCCACTAAAAACTCCCCTACCCCCTTAGCTTTGTTTCGTTTGGGGGCCGGGAATCCAACTTCTTTTATTCATAAAATCAGCAATCACGTTTCTTGTTTATCCGCCTCTCCCCGCAATTTAAGCAACCCCCTTTTTAAAATTTTTCTTTTTCTCTTTTTTTTTAATTGTATACCCGGAGAAGGGGTTAAGCCCTTGCTCCCGCATTTTTGTCGCCCCATACGACAGATGGCTTAGGAGGAAAATTCTTTTCCACTTCCCATGGGCAATAGAAGAAAAAAAAGAACAAACTATTTAGAAAAAGGAGAAAAACCTAGATGTAGTATTTTATAATGCTGTGCTGTCTGTGAAGTGTAAACCAAAGTGTAAGAGGAGTAGCAAAATATCCCTGTTTCTTAGCGCCTTACCCAAAATGTTTACAAAAAAGGCGGAAAAAAAAAAAGAAAAGCACTGAACATAATGAACATGGGTATTGAAAAACCAACAAAAACAGGAAACGAAAAAAAAGGGGCTGTGAGCAGATTCTTTAGTTTTAAGTAAAGACATTAAAAAAGTAGGTGTACTTTACAATAAATTAATTAGTACGTCAAATATTATTGTCACTTTCAGGCACTTTTGTCAATCCCGGAACGCTGTGGGCAAAGTCTGCTCAGTAGCAGTCGTATGGGGGCATCAGCAGTGAAATGCCATCCAGGGGCTATCTCCAATGACAACCCCGCCCGGGGGGGGAAAGGGGCCAGTAAAAAGAGACCCTTTGGAAGAGCAACTTTGCACCCACACATCCACTCCAGCTTGGCGTGGTGAATTCGTTCCCCCCTGCACCTTCCTGGCTCAGTATGACCATGGATGCAGCTCTTGGGTGTCGAGCAAGTATCTTCCAAATTCAGCGCACAGCACAGACTGGGAAGCGGACATCAGCAGCAGCACTAACCACATCTGTTAATATTCACCCACAAGCTGCTCCATTAGTGTGCAGGTTGGTATGGCATTATAAAGCTGTCTTTCACTGTTGTAAATTGCATTTATGGTCTCTTGCAGGATCTGTACATTAATTATCCTGCCTGTGTGTTCCCCATCCACATGCTTCTTGTTACCAGCACATTTTTAGATGCATTTTGATTAAATATATTTCTGTAAAATATTTAATTGTTGCTTTTTCTGGTAAAGTGGGTGGAGTGGGAAAGAACGTAGAGAATTTGCTGGTGTGCAAACATATTGAATTACCAGCTAATTGCCAAAATTAGTAAACCCACAATGCATGATGTAATAAAACTCACTTGCATAAAGTTACTGTATTTAAATCTTGATAGTCAAATATATTAAGTGTCCTTAGATCATGAACCCACCACTAGCTTAAAGCCGTCTCCTTTGTATGATCACACCTTTACACAGTCAATTTCTCCCTGCAACAGTAGAGAACAAAAGCATGTGTATGGGCATCTAGTAATTTTTGTAATTGTAATACATTTCCTTGCACTTCAGTTTTGTTAAATGTGTCCCACTTTACATTTTACAGACATGCCCTTGACACCTTGATCTCATTGGCCAAGAGTTTTCCCAGCCATTTCTTACCACACCAAGGCAAAGAATCGGATGATAATAAAAGTGAAGCGAAAAAATCAGGTTGTGGAACAACCACAGGTGCTATAAGTAAAAATTCTAAAGGATCATCAGGTCAAAGTAGTGAATCTACAGACTTCTGGGAATTGTTAGTAAAGCTAGACTCAATAAGTGTTTCACGCAAAGGAAAAGGACTGCCTAGAACACACTCGGGTGCAGGTAGTAGTAGTGAAGAAGAACAGCGTGTTACTAGTCTTGAAGCATCGGCGCTCGGCCAACTCATACAGCAGTTGGCTCATCCTGTTGTGCGCAGATCTTCGCTTCTCACTGACAGGTTGCTTCGTCTTCTGGCTCTGATATCCTTGGGGCTACCTGATACTGCTGATACAGCTACTTCACAGAATTCGAATACCTTGCAACACTCCACTGAAAATTCTCAAACTCTAGAACATCTACTTAAATTAGCAATTCATGTAAGTAGTATAATTTATTGAAAGTACATTAGAGAAGCCATAAGATGGAGCTTTTAATAAAAATTGATTCTTTGGTTCTTAATATTTTTGAGTTTTGGTTAGTGTTGATGTAAAAAATCTCGCTGTACTTTGGCAGGCACAGTTCCCAATTACCCACAAATTGTGAAATGTATTGGCATAATTTTCCTAGTGTTTCTGGTGCTTAATTGTAGTAAATGGCTGAGTGCTTTCGACACTAAATTGTGCAAGTCCTACCTTCCAGATGTCTAATCCATAAAAATTAATTGTATGGATGGTAAAACATTGTTAACCATGCTTTTTGTATTTTAGCATTTGACTCTGGCAGCCACTTCTGGACAGTGGAATATGAATGAACATTGCCAATACATTTTCTCACACTAGCATGAATTTGTTTTAAAACAGTCTTCTTGTGGAAATGCCTGATTTCAGTTCAAAACAGACACTTCCAACTTGAAGCAGTTCTTGGGGAACTCCACTTATGGGTCAGAATGTGTAAATTTGAAACTGTAGATTGGTATATTTCTACATAATTTTTTTTTTCCCAAAATGGAACTGTATAAACTAATAATTTTTATTGCCCTTTGTTTTGTAAATTAGATATATTTAAAAGTATTCCATTCTTTCAGTGATCATTGGCTTAAAAATAATGCCAGTAATTTCCTTTATAAATGCATCTTATTATCTGTCTATTTTTAGGTGTTAACCAGCAAATCATGTTCTGAAGAGGGTTTAGAAGATGCAACAGCTCTTCTGTTGCACCTGTCCCATGGTCCACCACCAGCTCGGGATCAGGTGCTTAGACTCCTCCTCCAGGGTGCTGCAACACTGGGCTCTACAGTAGCTACTCACATTGCTGCTTTGTTGAGTGATTTACAAGCCTACAATGCATCTCATCCACCTGTTTGTATAAATGATGAAGAACACCAGCCTCATGTGACAGACAAGACAAAGAAGGGGTTATTACAAGACAGGTAAAGTGTTTAAATGGGAAGTACAATGCCTGCACTTTAAAGGAGGGGTTTGGGATATTGGCAGTTTGGAGGGATATGTTGTGTATCTTTATATGTGTATGCTTCTAGACTGTTGTATTCTGAGCACCTCTGCAAAAACAGTGATAATGTGCGAGTGTGGTGAAAGTGTTGAATGATGATGAAAGTATTTTCTTTTTGGGGATTTTCTTTCTTTTTTGGGTCACCCTGCCTCGGTGGGAGACGGCCGACTTGTTGAAAAAAAAAAAAAAAAATAATGTGTAGGCTTGCCAAAAATATTATCAAGAGTTTTTTTTTTTTTTTTTTTTTTTTTTTTTTTTTTTTTTTTTTTTTTTTTTTTTTTAAGTTTGGACATTGAGAGAGGATTAAGCAAAATAGTTTGACTAAGAGGGTGTGTAAATGTGGGATGGAGGTAAGGATAAGTAGGGGTCATCCCAGGAAAGATTGGAAGGAGAAGGTGAAGGAGGTTTTGAGTGCTAGGGGTTTAGACATCCAACAAGCTTGTGTGAGTGCTCTAGGTAGGAGTGAGTGAAGGCAAGTGATTTTTGTGATGACATTCTGTTGGAGTGTGCACAAGGTAACATTTATGAAGGAATTTAGGGATATGGGTTGTCAAAACTTGAGTCTTGGAGGTGGGAAGTGCAGTGCCACATCCATCTGCAACATATGTTACGATTTGATGGGCTGTTTGAATCATGTCAGCACACTTCTGGCAAAATGATTGAATGAATGATAATGAACATTCTCATTTTTTGGGTTGCCCTGCCCTGGTGAGATGGCTAGTAAGAAAGGGAAAGTTTAGCATTTGGGGCCACAAGGGAGGTCAGTTTACGATTAGAAAAGGTTATTACCACATGCCCTCCCCCTCTTGCTTTTATTACATGTCTGTTGTTGTCTATTTCTTTACAGATATGCATGTAACCTTTTTCTTTTGCCAGATTTACTAATGAATGTGTGATCATAAGTGGGACAACAAAAGTAAAAGCACCTTGTGAACTTCAGCTGGCATCCATGTCAGCACTCACCAGCAAAACTTCTTCACAGGCCTTTTTCCTGCGTACCCTTAAAGTTATTATTCAACTTAGAGACGCCATAAGATTATCGCGTACCAGAAAAAGTGGTATGTATGTGGTGCTCTTGTAAAAGGGGTAAACCTATAGAAATTGAGATAGTTGAATGTAATATTTAAATTTTATGATATTATGAGAATACCTTAATTTAAGGATTGTGCCAAATTTCACTATTTAAAACCTTCACTGACTTTATTTGCTGTTTTGAAACAGGGACTCAACCCCCAAATGTAGCCACTGACAGACAAACTGAGAGTCAACCAAGTACAGTAGGCAACCAAGAACAGTCAGAGACAGGAAATAATGACCCTTCCTCAGAAATGGCTACAAGTCAGCAACCTCAGGTCACAGAAGCTAGTCAAGAGCAACCTGAAGCTGCTGCTGCCGCTGCCATCCAAGAACAAGTTAGTACAGTAACCACGCAAGAGCAAGAGGACACTGTTCAACAGCAAATACAACAACAGGAACAAAGTGAGAGAGATTTTGTTCCTGTAGTGTTGATCGATGTATCCAATCCAGAGACAGACAATGCAGTCAATGCATCTGCAACACCTCAGCCAGAGAGTATTCAGCCAACTGCTGAGGCAATGGATGTGGACAATGAATTACCAGGTAGGGCAGCTATTAAATTTTTTAAATATTTTCATAAATCTGTATTTAATTGGTGGTTAAGCATCAGAAACTGTTTAGAAATGGAATCTTGTAAAATTTTAACATTGCATTTCTTCCAAGATGGCTATTGAAAGATTTTTTTAAATAACCCTACCTTGGAGAGAGATGGTCAGTGTTAAAAATTGTGAAGATGTATCCCCCTCTTAATATCCAAGTTGTATCATATTATTGACAGTATACAATGCTGACAAATTGATAAGACACGGTACTTTGGTACCTTCGTTGCTAAAATATTTTGCTGGCACTGCAGGCTTCTTTAGTTGAGTACAGGGGAATATAAAACTGGAGACAGTAATTGTAGTAATCTAGCCTTGAAAGGTGATGGTCACTCCAGTTGCCTAAATAAAGAGGCATATAGCCAGGCCTTATTTACTGGGGTGGAAGTGAGCTGTAGTAGCTGGAGGTGACGTCATAGGAGAGTGTGGGCCCACTATTGGAAGTAGGTCTTGTAACAGTTAATTAGCAAAGGAGTTGCAGAAAACTTCCCCTGTACCTAGATACCATAATGTTGCTGTCATACAAGTACTGTATAATTGATGGTATAAAATACTGACAAGGTGATAACACATGGCAATAGAGATACCTCTATTGCCAAAATATTTTGTATGTGCTTCAATGAATGAAACATTGGAGATGATAGAAGTAATTTTAAGCTGATGAATCCCTCAACCTTGATAGGTGATCAGTCCTCTTAAATTGGCTTGATTGATGTTTGTGGGATTCTGGCTTCTTTCCAGGCTATTGTACCTGTCCACAAAGTTGTGAGAATGGATGGAAAGTTAACATGATGTATTGAAAGAAAATTTGTGCTTTAGATGTAATGGTCTAGTTTATGAGCAGAAATGTCTGGTGACATTAGGAGGAACTGTGTGTGATAGTGGAAATTTGGAGAGAAAATATGCATTTTAATAGTTTCAGGGGAAACATAAAGGGCATATTGGAAGAAATTACAACAAAAGGCATGTGTTAAGAGCATAGTTTTTAAGCTCACTCGCAAGAGGTTTTGGGGGCACAGCATTCACGAAGGTTTTGGCCCGAGAGAGATGGGGGGGGGGGGAAGGAGAGGGAGAGGGAAGAAATGTAGGGTAATAGTGTGACTGGAGCACTTGGAAAGAAAAAATGGATGTTTGGAGCAGCTTGGAGTGTCTTTAGGAAAGAGAGGCTTATTCATCAGAGATAAGAATTACTTTGTAAAGACTGGTTTAGGTGGGAGTTTTTAAATATTTTAAATAGTGTGTATCTAGGGTTTGATAGTAAGGAAATTAATTAGTAATTTAAGGTCTGGGTATATTGTTAATCCTTTCCCATGCAATGTACTGAATTCCTGTACCATACTTATTTTGAAATAATGTATTTTTACTAACTTACCCATTATTTTTGTATACTCATGTTAACATGTTTTTATTGTTTAGAAACTACTGAACTGGGGAGTTTGAGCGCCCAGTTAAATCTTGATGAATTGTGGTCAACATTGTCTCAGTGTCTGATAGAGCTTGGTGAGACCCAAGACACCCATGCAGTGTTAGTGTTACAACCAGCAGTAGAAGCCTTTTTCTTAGTTCATGCTTCAGCTGCCTCAGGAGACCGTAAAGAGCGCACCACAACTCAGACGGAGTCACGGGAAGCTCAGCTGGCACATTTGCATCATGAAATTGCACCACTTTCTCCTCTACCTTCAGTTCCAGCTGAGGGTAAGTTATGAGTAATGTTTACCCCTAAAGAAAGTTCAGAACGTGGCTATGATGTGAGAGGAAAAATAGTCAACAGTTGTCATTTTTGCCAAGTCTGTATTACTGTCTTGCTTTGATTTTCATTTTCTGCTCATTCTTCTAATAGTCTTTATTGGTTATTTTGATTTTTTTACCTTGCTTTTGTTTTTGTCATCTTTACATATTCACATGATTAGCTACCCCTCTAACAGAATGTTTTTGAATAAAAAATGATCACTACAGTGCTGATTCTTGTAACGTTTCACCATGAGGGTAGATTTCTTATTACTCTTATTGCATCTAGTCATGGAGTCAGTTGACTAGTTCAGCCCCCCTGTTTTTTCCTCCCATCATCCTTCCTCTCGTACATTAATTACTTTTTCCACTCATTTCCCTTACCTCCCCTTTTAATATTTTTTTTCTTTCTCGACTCCTTGTTTTCAGTTGTAGTACTTTCTTTACTGTTAAATATTTTTTTTAATACTGCAAAACTGCAAAGTATTCAGGTGCACTTCGATTTTCTTTAATTATTAATTGTGAATTACCTGTCAACAGATGGAGAAGGGAATGTTAATCGAGCTGGAGCGAGGAAGAGAGAAAATTCAATGTCTCTCATAGCCGAATATAACCCTGGCGATACTGAGAAATTCCTGAAGTTTGCAGGTTTGTTTTCCCCTTTACATCTTAATAGGTATCCGCATAAGGTGTTGCCTTGTTTTTGGTTTACCCTCTCGCTCCTTTGGGTATCTTAAGAATGTGTACATGGCACCAGAAATGAAACTTAACAAAATTCTGTAGTGTGGCTTCCTGGTAGCTTTGTTGAGAAACTGATTTTATTAACTAATTTATAATGCACGCAGAACTGCTTAGTTTTTTACTGACTTTAAAAGTAAAGATATCAAGAAAAAGAAAATCTTGAAATGTAATGGGGGTTTGGTTAAAAAATTTTGGACATGCAGAAAGATAAATCCAAGAGAGAGTCAGACAAAGAAGAAATTTCTTCCATCCTTTCCCAAATCTCCATTTCTAACTACAGTGTTCTGTCTGCCCTGGTCCTGTATGCTTTTGTCTACTCCGTGGTCTAAACAATCCAGGAGTTCTTAACTAGTCTCCACAGTTGAAAGAAGGATGTGCTCTGTTGGTGCTCGGGCCATGTTGGTGCCCTAGAAAATGAACAGGCAGATGCAGAGGCAAAGGCTGCTGTAGTTAGCCATATCCACAGTAGACTGCTACTTTACAATGACTTCATGGGCCATGTCCATAGATGTGTCCCTTGGAAATGGTTGGCCTGATGGGCCCTGCAGACTAGTGTTTTACACAGTTCAGCAAGACGTGGGTGTTTGGTCCTCCTCCTTTAACGAGAATTATCACTAGAGATTAATATGTTGATTAAGGATCAAGCGTGCACACCACCCATAGCCACTTGTTCGTGGGTGCTCTTGTTCCCTGTTGTATAACTTGTGTCATGCAACCCGCTGAATAATATTTTGATTTTACCCACAGTTTAGGCTTTTTTGCCCTTTTCATGATACTTTTAGGAGAGTCTTTTGACATTAATAATTTAATGGGTGTTCCTAAATGATGCTAGTTATTTTGCATGTTAGTTTTTGAACATTTTATTTGTTTCTGGGTTTTGTTTGCCAGTTTTACTTTGTCATTATGGTATTGCCTTGCACTCTTGTACAATTACACACTAAAAGAAATATATCAGCAAAGTGAAAACTCTGCTTTATTTTTGCCCCCACAATCTTCTTTTTCTTTCTCTTTTTCTTCTTTTTCTTTTTTCTTTTTCTCCTTTTTTCTTTTTCTCCTTTTTTCTTTTTCTCCTTTTTTCTTTTTCTCCTTTTTCTTTTTCTCCTTTTTCTTTCTTTTTTCTTTTTCTGTTTTTTTTTTCTTTTTTCTCCTCCCCTCCTCCTCCTCCTCCTCCACCACAAAACATACCCCATATTGCCCCATCAGCCTAAGAAGATCCTCCCTTCCCTGATTTGGGTATATTCCAGCTAGGCATGAGCATGAATCAAAAGTACTATATGCAGACAAGGGGAATTCCAAATAAAAGCTAGGAAGTGAGTAAGAGATGTGCAGTTCTGATCAGAATAGATTGAAATTCACAGTGTTAACTCCAGACTGCTAAAGTTAGGTTGTAAAGACAGTTGTTAGTACAGAAAGTCCCAAAATATTTGTTTGCCAGTTTACCATTAAATAGCAGAAGAATAAGACATGTGGTGCAGCAACACTAACAGCACCTTTCAAGGCAGGTGAAATTGCTGACCTTGAAAATGTACAGAGAACCTTCACAGCGCGCATAACGGAGATAAAACACCTCAATTACTGGGAGCGCTTAAAGTTTCTGAAACTGTATTCCCTGGAATGCAGGCGGGAGAGATACATGATTATATACACATGGAAAATCCTAAAGGGACTAGTACCGAACTTGCACACGAAAATCACTCGCAATGAAAGCAAAAGACTTGGCAGATGATGCAACATCCCCCCAATGAAAAGCAGGGGTCACTAGCACGTTGAGACAATACAGTAAGTGTCAGGGGCCCGAGACTGTTCAACTGCCTCCCAGCATACATAAGGGGGATTACCAATAGACCCCTGGCAGTCTTCAAGCTGGCACTGGACAAACACCTAAAGTTGGTACCTGACCAGCCGGGCTGTGGCTCGTACGTTGGATTGTGTGCAGCCAGCAGTAACAGCCTGGTTGATCAGGCTCTGATCCACCAGGAGGCCTGGTCACAGACCGGGCCGCAGGGGCGTTGACCCCCGGAACTCTCTCTAGGTAAACTCCAGGTAATAGTTAAAAAAAAAATGCATACGAAAGTTAAAAGAGTATAAGTAGAGAATTTCAACCATGTAAATAGTCTCCAAACTGAGGGAAATAGGAGTGTGCACAACTTTGTTAGGCAACAGAACCAATGAGATAAAGGAATAGCAAGTCATACTGTATAGGGGAACTAATGTACAGTGTTTCTGGAAGCAAGTGATCACTGTCTACTTACCGCAGCTTGGTGGAAATAACACTAAAGAAAAATAGGAGATGCAGAATTGAGAGGACTGTTGAGACTGAGAGAGAAGCATTAATGGCAGGACTGTCTTGCTGGCTAAATTGCCCCAATTTAACCCCACATTTTGATTGATTAAATCTTCCAGTTCCCAAACTTTCATACACTTGGTTGGCAATATAGTAGTGTACACTTCTACTAGATGGCACTGTTCATTTCCCCATTGTCCCTCCAGAATTTGTGCTTTCATGATATGAAATTTGAGTTTAAATATATTGAATTTAGGTTAATTTTATGTAGGTGGGGATATTATATCCTTAGTTTACTAGTTATGGTACATTAGTTGAATGTGCATTAAATGTAATATACAGTAAATGTACAATTAGATGGTAAAATGAGTTTGAAGTTCTTTGACACAAGATAAAAACTTAAAAGGTTGTCATTATGCAGTACATATATTATTTTTTTTTCCTACCTAAAGAGACACATCGGACAGTTCTCAATCAAATCTTACGGCAGTCAACAGTTCACCTTGCTGACGGTCCATTTAGTGTTCTTGTGGATCACACTCGTCTTCTGGATTTTGACATTAAACGCAAATACTTCAGAACCGAACTAGAACGTGCAGATGATGGTATGCGCCGAGAAGACTTGGCTGTGCATGTCCGTAGAGAACATGTATTTGAAGATTCCTTCAGGGAATTACACAGACGGTCCCCTGATGAGTGGAAAAATAGATTCTACATAGTATTTGAAGGTAAGTAAAAGTTTAATTTACATGCTTAATGGTACCTTTAAATCTGAGAACATAAACTAGGCAAGTTTACTATGTTTTGGGTACTTTTTAGCGTGTAACATTGATGTGGCTTTTAAGCTATCATATTAGCTAATTTTTCTTTGTTTGCTGTATAGTCCAGAAGTCACTAATTATGACAACCCATTTAATATTATAAATGCTTATTTTTTTTAAAAATCCTAATATAGCAAACCTGCTATCAGAAGCAATTTGATTTCATGCAGCAAGTATATCAACCCTGAACCCTCTGTCTACATCGTTTAACTCTTTTGATGGTCCAGACCCCCAATCTGAAAATTCCCCACAGGATCTTAAGAATTTTCAAAAAAAAAAAAATCTTATTTTTTTCTTATGAAATGGTAGAGAACCTTTTTCTGAAGGTAATAAAACAAGTACAAAATTTGATTAAAAATTTATGAAATTACGCTCTCGCGAATTTTGCTGTCAGCTATATTTACACATCAGCGATTTTGCCCCACTTTGAGTCATGTTTTTCTCCAATTACATTGTTCCGTTAAACCAAATTCTTAGCTATTTTGTTAGTATGTGGTCCATTTTATCGATTGAGCACAAGAAATAGCCCAGTCAGCTACAGTAGACCATCATTGAACATAGTTACGTTCCTGAAAACACCGTGTTAGACAAAACTGTGTTTGACAAACTGAAGAACTTTTGGGAAAAATAGGGCTATGTTCCTGGGAGCCACCAAAAAGCCAAACAACTTTTTTTTTTAGACCAACAGATCTTACAAAAATAAAAGGTAATATGTAATTGTAGTGCATTGTTGTGATATATTACTGCTTAAGACTACAAATGCAATAGAAATAATAGTATTTCTTACCTTAAATTGTGGGTAATGGTGTTTGTGGATGATTGTGAAGAGAGTGGATATGGATGGTGTGGCCCTACTGGGCTGTGGTGGATGGTTGTTGGTTGTCGGCAGAAGTGGATGGTACAGGTTCTGGTACTGAAGTCGATGGTTGTATTGGAGTGTGCATAAATTCTGTAGTGGATCTCTGGGCTCTTACCTGCAGTACCTTATACAGCTGATGGTAAGGCATCATCAGCTGGTCTAGATCCCATTTCAAAGCGCTGCTTCTAGATTTATCAGGGTCCTCTTCAGTGAAAAAGTCCACTAGTTTAGCAGCAACATGGAACTGCTCATGTAACTGCTGCAGTGTTAACTGTTTTTCTTCAGATTCTCATTCTTCTGTTATGTGGCTCCCTTGTATCTGTTCATAGAGCTCTGCCAACATTTCCTCTGGACTCCTGTGTTCATCATCATCGTCATCGTCATTTATATCTTCAAAACCATCACCTGGTAATCTCCTTGCCAACTGAACAATTTCCTGAACCTTACTCTCAAGCAAGGGAAAACCAGTGAAAGAAGGTCATAACTTTCCTCAGCCTGCATTTAATGTTGATTGAGGCACTTCATTCCATGCACTTCTAGCATAACTGATAGCATCTGCAATGCTTGGTACTGCCAGGTTGGAGTCAGAGTCCATTGATGCAGCTAGTTTTTTTTTTTTTTTTTTTTTTTTTGTAACTTTTTTTTTGTGTCGTTACACTTGAATGACTTAACTCTCCAATCCAGCGGTTGTGTTAAAGATGTTGTATTTGGAGGTAAAAATACAACTTTTACATGTGGGGTCACATCCAGCAAAGCTTATGGATGAGTATGGGAATTATTAAGAATGAAGAGAGCCTTGAATGCAAGGTTCTTGCTGTGCAGGTAAAACTTGACTTCAGGAATAGTGATGCTTAAACCAGTCAATAAATATTTCCTCTGTCATCCATGCTGACTGGTTTAACCTCCAAATTACGGGTAAGGGGTTTTTATCTACACCTTTCAAAGCACGAGGATTTTTAGAGCAGTAAATAACCATGAGCTTACACTTGAAATCACCTCATGCATTACCACAATGGAGCAAGGTGAAGCGATCCTTTGCTGCCTTGAAGCCCGGTGCCTTTTCTCTTGCTGATTGATACAAGTTCTTGTTGGCAATTTTTTTTCCAAAAAATGCTTGTCTCGTCAGCATTAAACACTTGATGTGGCTCATAGCCGCCCTCAGAAATAATTTCCTGCAATTCAGCAGGGAAATTACTTGCTGCTGTATAATCAGTTGAAGCACTTTCACCAGAAAACTTAATATTATGTAACTTATTATGCAGCTTAGTTGTGGAACCAGCCTGTGCTGAACACACTTTTTCAGGCCTGCCTGCCTTATCACATATTGCTTTAAACAACTGTAAGGTCTTTTTCCTAATTAAGATGAAATTAAGTGGGGTCACCTTTCTTTGACTTTTGTTCGATCCACTCGAGCAACAAGTTTTCAGGTTTATTTACTTGCTGTAATCTGTGTCATTCTTTTCATGAGGTGACATCTTAGCTTATTCATTACACAAGCTTGTATGTTTGCCTCGTTCTTTTTAATTGTAAGAACTGATGCTTCATTATGTCATGTAGGGGGGTAATGATTAGGGGAATATGGGGGTAAGAGGAGGGAGTTAGTAGGCAGGGAACAGGCAGGTGAAGTGGTAGGAGAGATGATTAGCGGAGGTTGGTAGGTAGGTAGGGAGGAGTGCGGAGGTAGGTAGGTAATATGAAGTCACTGGTGACGACACCTTCACCTCTCATTACTCTACCCGCCACACTACTCACCCTCTCACTACTTTAACTAAACATAAATAATGGAAATAAGAATAAATAACGGGGACAGTGAATATTACTATTCTACTCAAACACAGTTTATTATTAAGTCCTTGTACAATAATATATTTGGGAACAGGAGTACATCATTGGTTTAGATAAATGGGATGGTATGTATAAGCAGTGAGACAGGGAACACAATCAACTTGACGAAAATTAATATAACTTAGAAATAGTACAGAGGACAGTTCACTACAGGAACTAAGCCACAGGTCCCAAGACCTACACAGCACGAGTACTGCTCCAAGCCAGTACTCTGCCCATTGTCTCCAAGAGTCTCCTCCAGAGACTTCAGCAGCCTTCTCCTGAGCCCTGCACCCCAGCAGCAGCTCCGCTCGAAGTCTCTGCTCAGGAGCTCTGCACTCCAGCAGCAGCTCCGCTCGAATCTCCTGATCATGCTCTTCCTTGGGCTTTTATGGTGGTCCAAGCACCCTCCACAACCACGTGTACGACCTGACGCCTAGGTCTGACGCCGTCAAGAACAAAAGACCTCAGACGTGGGCGTGGCTACAGACGTTTGCCAAGGCAAAGTGTGACCATACAATTGGTTAAATTAGGTCTCCCCAGAGACCTCACAAGCCCAGCTGAACTACATCACATCCCCCTTTCTCCCCCAATTTAAAATATCTGAGAACTAGGACAATTTGTCCTAAGTTATTAGACTATTTTAATCCTAACCCCTTAAATCTATTACAATACAAAGACAAAATTATACTTTTTATTATTATCACACTGGCCGATTCCCACCAAGGCAGGGTGGCCTGAAAAAGAAAAACTTTCACCATCATTCACTCCATCACTGTCTTGCCAGAAGGGTGCTTTACACTACAGTTTTTAAACTGCAACATTAACACCCCTCCTTCAGAGTGCAGGCACTGTACTTCTCATCTCCAGGACTCAAGTCCGGCCTGCCGGTTTCCCTGAACCCCTTCATAAATGTTACTTTGCTCACACTCCAACAGCACGTCAAGTATTAAAAACCATTTGTCTCCATTCACTCCTATCAAAATTATACATAATACTAAATTATTCCACTACATATATTTCCCTCAACCTTCTCATCTACCACAAGGCAGTATAATCAGTACACCTCGCAGTTGACCAGCATAATAGTTGCTCTCTGGTGCAAAGCCTCCTTACCCGTCATTTCTCCTTAAACCTAAATATCGGGCTCCAGTGCCTTCCCTACTTCTACTAGAAATGCACTAGCCAATGCTAGTCACCCTCGCACGTTATCCATTGGGCCAAACCTCTCTAGGCTTCTATGGCATGGAAAACTGCTCCAACGGGTTGCATTCTTTCAAGTAACTGCAACTGGACCACTTCACAACCACCAAGGTCGCATTTTCGGCACACTTCACATGCACACTACAACATATGAAAATTGAGACAGGGCAGGCATCGCAGCTAATACCCTCCATTATCCTATGCCACTACTAGGATTCACTGGCCTCATAAAACAAGGCGGCCATAAACATTTGACCGTATTCAAGGTCACCTTATTTCACACAGGTAACACTAACACTTCTGGCAAGTCAAAGTAGGCTGGGGACATCACACACTCTCAATTGTCTCTCATGGCTAGCAGGACATCCCCGCATACCAGTCGTACAGGTCGACCAGCAAGGCAGGATACACCTCCATACCGCCCTTGATAGCAGACTGGTCCCAGCAGCTGGAGTCCATCTCCGCGGCTCACGTCCTTCCACATCTCCGAGGATGGCAGCTCCTTCATAGTAGATTCTCCTGTCCTGGCACATCAGCCAGAATCCCTCACACACCACTGCAGCATCACCGCCATCTCCTCCTCTTGAGCTAGGCAGCATCCCAGCACGGCCGTATCACAGCAGCACACAGCACGGCCACAGCATCGCAGCACGGTCCCAGCATCACAGCATGGCCGCAGCATCTCAACATCACCGCACGACCGCAGCATCTCAACATCACAGCATGGCCGCATCACAGCAGCACACAGCACGGCCACAGCATCGCAGCACGGTCCCAGCATCACAGCACGGCCACAGCATCTCAACATCATAGCAAGGCCGTATCACAGCAGCACACAGCACAGCCACAGCATAGCAGACAGCATCACAACACGGCCACAGCATAGCAGACAGCATCACAGCACGGCCACAGCATAGCAGACAGCATCACAGCACGGCCACAGCATAGCAGACAACATCACAGCAGCCGACATCAGCAGTAGCAGGCAATGGTCAGTTGCTCAGGGTGAGGTGAGGTCACT